TTGCAGCACGGAGCAGGCTCAGAGCCCTGAGCCCCGGCGATGGCTCACATGCCTGGGAGCCGCAGAGCCCGAGCACAGCGAGGGGACAGCTGGGGGGCGCATGGGGAGCCTGCATCTGCTGCAGCCTGTAGGAGCCCCGGGGGGGGTGCCCGGCTGCAGCCTGGGCAGGAGGGTGGGGGCGCGGCTGCTCCCCGCTAGCCGCGCCACCGCTTTTGCAAGGCTGCTGCCCTTCTGCGCCACGCCGGCTCCTCCATGGCTGGGGCTCGCCGCCCCTGCAAGCCGATGCTATGGCTCTCCGGTGCCTCCAGAAGGCGGCTCTTCCCTGCCGAACTGCTGCAGTGGCCCAAGCCCGGCAAAGCCAGTGAGTGGACTTGGGGCGGGGACCACCGGGGTGGGGTGGGCTCGTGGGGGAGCTGTGCACCTTCCAGGGGAGTTCAGGGGGTGGGGAGGGGGGAACCTGGTCTGGGGAGCAGCCCCTGGGCAGGCTGGCCCCTGGGGTCTATAAAGGCTCATTGGGATTTGCCTCTCAATGAACCGAGGTGCGGGGGGAGGGGGGGAGGGGCGCCAAGGTGGAAGTTTCGCCTAGGGCGCAAAATATCCTTGCACTGGCCCTGTTTACACCAAGCCCACCTGAGCCCTCCCTTGCTAGAGACAGCGACTGCCTTGCTGTCAGTCACTTGTACTACATAGAGGTGATCAGACCGAGCAATTGGAAATAAAGGTACACTCCTCACAAATGGGGGGTTTCTAGTGTGGTACTGCCAACCGCAAACATGCAAAAATCAAGAGTCTGACACTCAAAATCATGAGATTTAAAAAAGAAAATAATAATGTCAGGATCTTTATTTGCCTTCTGGTTTGTGGGCCTTCAGGCTGGACATGCTTCACATCTTCAAGCTTTTCTCTGAAAGCACAAGGGTTAAAAATTTTCATTAAAAAAATAGTAACCTGAGATTCTTATGCAGTATCATGATTCCAGTAGAAAAGCCCTACAAATCATGAGAGTTGTCTGCAGTTTGTAAGGCTTTTCGTGATGAGTGCCGCTACCATTTGTGTGACCTGGGTAAATCACTCTCTGGACTTCAGTGTCCCCATCTGTGAAAATAATAAAACGGGACAGCGCCAACTGTGCAAATCCTTATTTTCCATGTAACTCATGGCAGGGGCAAGATGACAGCAGCATTGATTTCTGCTTGTTTAGAAAGTGGATTATCTGACTTCCTTTAAAATATTCAAGGAAAACCAATACCAGCCCCCGTATTGACCTAGGCGCGTGGTGAAACAACGGCTGTTGTTTATCATTCACTTTTCCAGATTTGGTCGCCAGGCTTGCGTGGATGAACATGCATGGAGAAGCTGCTCTGCGTGCAGTGAACAGAATCCGTGCACATGCTATCTCGTCACATGCTCACCCACCTGGTGTCCATGGTCTCAAGCAGAGTGAAGATGTAAACACAAGCTGCTGTTGAAGTGGTTGGCTGGGCTTTTCTCATCCCCCCACTCTGCAATCAAGTATTTAAGAAAGAGACAGATTGTTGTGATCAAAACAGGCAGAAATCAGTTCTTCTCCAGAGCATCTCCTGCAGTTCTAGCACTTGGCTTTTGCAAAGTCTTCCACTAACAGATCTCAAAGCATTGTACAGTCATTCGTAATTAAGCCTCACACAACACTCCTGGGAGTCATGTATCATTATCCCCATTTCACAGGTAAGGAAAACATAACCATTAATAATACTTTGAGGTAAAGAGGGTGAAGTGACTTGTCCGAGGTCACAGCAGAAGCTAATGGCAGAGTCAGGAATCCTGATTCTCAGTCTTCTGCTCTAACCACTCAACAGGACTTATTCCATGGTAAGCAGGTAATTTTAAAATAGACACAATTAGCCTAGTGGCTCTGTGGAGAAGTGGATTCATGGCTGCTGAGCTCCCTCAAGCTAAGTATGGCGTAGCAGCTCTTTCCTGGTTTAGCACTCCCTGCCAACATCTGCTCCAGCTCTGCAGTGCTCTCTTTTCTCGCAAGTGGGCCCTCCAGCCAGGTCACTTTAATGTCTCTTCCCTTCTGGGAAATCAACATCCCACATGGAAAATGTCCCTCTTGACCCTGGTCATTGCTAGGATGTCTTCCACCTCCCCAGAGCTCCTCTTCCATTCACTCCTGTCAGAATGTCTTCCACCTCCCCAAAGCTCCTCCCTGGAGTCTTTCAACCAAACTCAAAAGCAAAACAACACACACCAAAAGGAACTTTTGTCCCTTTTGCTGCCTTAAAGTTTTAATCCATCCAGGGGCCTCCCCAGCTCTCTGTTCTGCCACAGAACACTGCCTTACAAGCATTACCTTCCTGGAGTCTTGCTAGTCTGGATCCTATACTCCTGCCTACCCCAAGGCCATCTGCCAGTCAGTTGGCCTTCGCTCAGGTCCATTCCAGGAGTCTGCTTCACCCTTGCAGCACTCTCCTATGAGGGCCTGTCCCAGGGTGTATGCACCCTCCAGAACCTCCTCCTCAGGTGAATGTCTTCCTGGGTTTCTTCCCTGGAGGTCCAGCTCCTACCCTTTCATCAGGCCTCACTGCAGGAGTGTGCTCCACCCTAGTGAGTGCTCTGTATCTCAGGTTCCACACTGTGCTACTGACTGCAGGGCTCCTTTCTTCTCTCCCTGCAACCCACTTCTACTCTGGGCTCTTTCTCTTTATAGAAACCACACAACTCCTCCACAGCCAGGCTCCATCTTTACTTAGGCCTCGCCACCCTCTCCAGGTGCAGCCAGGTAGCTTGCCAGCTCCAATTTACCATTTTATCACCTGTCGGGGGTTACACATCTCATCATAGGCTCCCAAACTATTTTGCTGGAGCTTCATTGCAATGGATTAGCAGATGAGCCTGGCCATCTTATATCCCACCCTGTGTCACCTTGCACTATGGGCAGACACATGGTTGCCACCATCTCTTCATTTTCTTCTCTCTCTCTCTCTCTCTCTGTCTTTGTACTTTCCCGAATCTGCCCTCTCTTTCCTTCTCATCTTCAGATTTTTCTTTGTCTCTCCAGAAGCCAGCATGCAGTTTGGAGGTTGCCGGGAGGTGGAAGGAGCTGTCCTGTGTAGCTCAGAAGGACTGGTCTGCATATGCTCTCCTGGCTCATTTGAGTACCATGGGAAAAAAGTCTAGAAGCCTGAGCTGGCAGACTACAAGTAAGGCCTACAGACCTGTACTTGGCTATCACATGATCAGGGGCCTGCTTTCACGTATCACTGAATTTTATTAACAGCTATTAAATGTCATTTTTATGGAGCGGGCATTCACAGGTGCCTGCGTAGCTGATTCTTTTGAACGAAAAACATTGTTTAGGAGACAAATGCTGTTAGGTGGATTCAGCTTGTGAGCCTGGATCCTATTAGCAAGGTCATTTTTTCCAGTTTTTTGGCATGTGAACTATGTGGCAAATGGCAACGTCATGCCAGCCATGTTTGAATTCCCTCATTATCAGATGGGAGTAAACAAGGTTAGACCAGAGAGCCCTGAAGTGCTTTCATTGGTGGTTACAGGAAGAAATACCTCCATTCACAGACTGCTGCAGCGTAGCTGAGGAAGGGAAGTCTGATGGAGCGGAAACATCTGTGAACGGCTGGAAATAAGCATCTGGGCAAGTATGTTTACGACTCCTCACTTGATGAAGCAACCAAGTATTAACAGGAAAACTGGTAAAGGAGAAAGCGGAAGCGCTTATTCAAATGCCCAACTATGGGTCCAGTGTGTTACTGTCAAACACAGTATTGGGAGCACCTGTGTGTGACTTTTCCTGGCCCATGCAGAAGCCTAAGAAGATCCAATGTCATAGTGGAGAGGACTGAGTAAAATCTGAACTGATACAATGCCGGTTCCTCCATGTGGAGTTCCAGGAGGTCATCCTGCATTCAGGCTCACAGCACCAAATCCTGCTCCCGCTGACGTCAATGGGTGTCCTGCCATCGACATCAGTAACTCAGGATGTGCCCCTCAAAGCAGAGAGCCATTCCTTCTCTACTGAAAGGTCTCTTGTTATCTGACCTCTGAGGTTCTTTTGCTGCTTGGTCCAAACTTTCACAGAGATCCCTCTCTGTACACCTGAAACAAGACAAGGTCCTTGTAGCTGTTTCTGCACTGAAACTGCAGCAGCAATTCAAGCTTTAACATGCACCAACAGAATTGACTCAAGATGCTACTGTCACATTTTTAGCGACAATGGGACTGATCCGGGCCCCTGTGCATTGGACTGGCAGTGTTTGGGAGGCACAGGGTATGGCTACAGTGCAAAAAACTACCCATGGCAGCGAGTCTCAGAGTCCAGGTCTAAAGACTCAGGCTCACTGCGCTACAGTGCTAAAAATAGCCATGGGTTTCAGAGCCTGAACTACAGCCCGAGTGGGGAATATTGACATGACTGTTTATAGTGCTGTAGGATGAACCCCAGGAGTCTGCAAACTCAGAACCCAGGAGTCTCTCTCTCCCCACCCACCTCTCCAAAACCCCCAGGATAGGGGATGTGCCGAGGCTGGAAGACGATGGTTTGGGGATGGAAGGGGTGTGCCCTTAGCATTCAGCTCTGTGGTAATTAGGGGCTGCAGCATGGCCCATACCCAGCTGTGACTAGGCTATCATAACCCTTGGGGTTGCTCTAACTTATGTCCAGGCCATTTTGGCCCCAGTCACATCAGCCTAGAAATCAGGCAATGCAAAGATAACTTAAAGCCACTTTTGCCTCCTCCTCCTGCTGGGTTGCATCCCAGCAGGTGTGGCACAGAATCTGGATCAATTAGTCATTTTAGCTTAAGATACTAGAGGATACTCAAACCATTGAAAAATCAGCTATTGCTGTCCATTATGCTCTTCCAAGGATAAGCGTTGTAGAGTGGTGCAACCTATAGTGGTATGTGTTTTGTGTCCCCCTCTGTACTCCACCCACAGAAGATATCAGTCTGCTGAAGGTGCCAGCTAATGGACTTAGGCACCAAAATACCTTTGAGGATCTGGGCCCAAAGATGCAGATAGGTGTCAAGTGGGATTTTCAAAAATGCCTAAGCAGGTTAGGTGCCTAACCCCATTGGAATCAATAGGACTTAGGCCCCTAACCTCTCTGCATCTTTAGGGACCTAAATACCTCTGAAAATCTGACCCTTAGTCCTTTAGCTCAAGCTGTAACTGCTCTTACTTTAGCTGTGGTGATCCCATGTTCTGTTTCTGGTGACAACCAAGCTATTATTATAGGGATGAGCCTACAATTCTCCAGCACAAGCTACAGTAAATTGCTATTTTCAACTGAAAGAACATCAAAATGAATTGGTAGTCATTCCGTGATTGTGACGAAGCAAGGGGTTTTCTTGTTGTTTTCAAAGTTTTGCATGCAGAGGGGCTAGGACTCAGTTTCCCTGTGGTGTTACTGGTTTAGCTAGGTGATGGGAGAGGGAGTTTGTAGTTACAGAGGACCAGCGAATGGCTAAGGATACCCCAGCGACTGGTGACCGGGAGGCCCAGCTCGGGAGAGTCATCCAGTTCTGGCCAGTGGGAGGACAATGGACTGCGGCGGGAGGACCCCAGTGACCTAACCAGCCGGTTCCAGCCAGAGGGGAAACAAAGGATGGATGAGAGGAGAGGAGGCCCAGGCGGCCTGTTTACCTGGGACAGAAGACAAAGGACAAAGGCGGGACTTAGGAGAGGGTGATATCAGATGCCCAGCTGGAAGGAGGGGGTTTCTGGGCTGGGGCAGAGAGCAGCCAGAGCCCACCTGGAGGCTGGAGAGACCTAGATATACTGTGCTTAGGGATGCTAGGCCTGAGGCCCTGAGAGTTTCCTATGCTGTGTTCAGATGCTCAATAAACCCTCCTGTTTTACGCTGGCTGAGAGTCTCTTCAGTCTAGAGATCGGGGTTGCATTATTCCCTCTGGGTGTGGAGGCCCCGGGGATCCAGAGCGAGTGGACTCCTGGAGGGGGCCCATGGTGAGAGACAGGCATGCTGAAGGCTCAGAGAGGTGCGGTTCCAGGAGGCAGAGGAGCCTATGGCTTAACCCCTGAGAGAGAGTGGACCCCGAAAAGGGCTGTCGCATTGAAGGGGGTTCCTCCCAGGGACCGTACAGAGCCGAGAGAGAGCACGAGTCCTGTGAGTCCATGACAGTGATTACACCAGACATGACCTAGAAACATGGAAGTTTGAAACATGGTACAATCCTCAGAGATATTTAGGAATCTAGCTCCCATTTGATCCATCTAAGGATCTGGGGATTTTAGGCACCTTTGAGGGTCTGATCTTAGTTTCCTGGCCTGGGGTGGTACTTTCCAAGAAAGTAGCACAGAACCTGAAACAGCTAATCAAATTGCAGGAGAAATGAGATGCTACAAATAAAAAAGAACTGTTTAAAGGTCTGCCCTGTGTTGTGATTAATATGGCAGACTGATGAATGGATTTGGTTTGTTGGTGAAGTCTCTTTTCCAGTGTGTGAGTAGCTAGTTTCTGGCAATGTTATGAACTGCATCA